TCAGCCAGGAAGTTTTTACTTCTATTGAGTGTCAGGGGAAGGCTGTTTCTTCCATCATAGTAAATGCAACCTCCCTATTTTGATTCCATGGTGAAGTCCAAGTATTGTAGGTACATTAAATCTCAGTGAATTGATGAGGGTAGCTGGAATTAGAATGCCATGGAGTTAATAGCTTCTGTGATCCTAAATATTCCAAGATTTCTGCAGAGGTCAAAATGTCACAGGCACAAGGGTTCTTGCTAATGGCGCAGAAGGGAATTTCAGGAGGACGCCCATAACCAAGTGATAGTGGCAAGTTTATTGAGTGAAAGCAGACAAGCTTAGGCGAGGCTTATGCAGAAGTAAAAGTACCCTCTCAAGAAAGAGTGGGCAGGCTCCAAAGGATCAACTGTGCCAAACCCCAGACAGTTGTTGTTTTTATTTGTTGAAGTCAAAGAAGACTGTGGAGGCAGGGTCAGTGTTCATTCTGTTCTTTTATATAATGGGGGAAAGGTCACTTTGTACCTGTGCAACGCTGGGAAATCAATGGCTCTTTTCTCCTCAGGTCTGTTTGTTCAAAGGGCCGTTCCAGCCAGTTGACTAACATCTGTTCCCTTCCCCCTTGCTCATCCCTAACTGACTACCTCCTCTGACAAAAAGAATCAATTTTCCTTTCTGGTGCCTGTGGGCATTTGCTTTCTCCTGCTCCATAGTGGGTCACACTTTGTCTCCCAGGTCCTCCAGGGCCCTTGAACATTCTGGTTCTTGCCTAGACACTAAAGTAGTAGCAGCGCTAGGTGCTGCAGAGGAATAGCATGGCTGGAAGCTGTGGTTACTATGACAGCAATCACTTGTCCCCTGAACCTTCTCCTTCTCTTTCTCTTATATGCTCTTTCTTGGTTATTGGCTGTGTCATTCACCCCATTGTATGATTCTGAAACCTGGGATTGGCCCTTGTATTTCTCCTTTTCCTTCACTCTCTTTATCTAAGTAGTCACCAAGTTCTGCTTCATGCTGTCATAATTTCTCACCTGGGTTACCCTAATAGCCTCCAGATTGGGACTTCTGATTCCGATCTTTCATATTATGGCCAGATCTGGTCATGTCACTCCCCTGTTTAAAATCCCTCAGAGAGCACTGCAGATACAATTCCAACTACTACTGAGGTTTTGCGTAAATCTCTGCAGCATCTGCTCCTCCCTTTGCACCATAACAATGCCAAGCTTCTTTTTGGTCTTAATTTCATCGTCTGTTAAATGGGGAAAATAATTAGTGCCTACTTCATACGCTTGTAATAAGGCCCCTCAAAACTGTTTTATGCCTGTGCTTTTGCACATGGTATTCCTTTGCCTGTTGTTAAAACCACAACGGAGTTTCTGTCTAGGTCCAGTTGCTTGTTACACAAAGATCCAATTATCGAGACCATGAGGATTGCCAGGGAAGAAAGGAGTTTTTTTAATATGACAGGTGTCTTGTTGGGAGAAGGGAGAAGCTTCTATCTCACAGACCAAAGGAGATCATGGGCTTTTAAAGGAGGGGCCACGTGCCCTGGGGCAGGGCATGGGAGGTGTTGAGTCTGCCCAGGGGCCTTCAGAATCTCAGTTCCTTTGTCTTGTAGAAGATCCACCATTTCTGGGAAATGACTCAAAAGGTCAAGAGTAGTCAAGGGAGGGATTATATAGGGGTCATTGGAGTTTGTTCAATGGGGGACCAGTTACATCTCTGCCCCCCCCCCCCCAAGATCACAGAGGAATACCTTTCCCTTGTCCTCTAGCTTCCTGTGCATACCCCACTGATAGCACTTTTTACATGGAGGGTTGTGTCTGTCATTCATCTCTCTTTATCTCCAGTGTGCTGGCTCACCTATACTTGATTAAGGTTTGAAAAAAAGACTGGAATCAGCAGACCTGGGCTTACTGCTAGCTCTGCCATTAGCTAGCTGGGGACATTGGGCAAACTGCTCTGAGTCTCCCATTTCTAAGGAGATTGGACGAGGTGATCCCTGAAATTCCCTTCCATTTTGAAACGACAATCTTCTGGGGAGAACAAAAGCAGCAAGGTAGTCTTAGGAAGTGGGAGAATATATTATGAAGTAGGATGCACCTCCCGTTATTTTTCTTCTTTCTGTCTTTCAGAGGTCATTTTCTTCTGAGAAAGTCGTTTATAAGGACTTTTCTATCCCCAATCCCAGCTGGAACAAGGACATAAGACTCCTCTTTGACCAGTTCATGAAGAAATGTGAAGATGGCTCCTGGAAATGTTTGCCTTCATGTAAATACAGATCTAGTCAAAGGATTCAAGACTTCAAAACGTTTCTTCCTGGTAGGAACAGCCACTTTCCCATGAATAATATTTGAATGTCAAATATAAAACTAAGGACAGATTAAAGCACTAGTTACCACATGAAAAAGAAAGGAGAATAGTGCAGGAGAGAATTTATATAGTCCCCAGTTTTATAGGCCAGAACTCTTAACAAATTTTGCGGACTGTAGGAGAGCATAAAGCCTATTGTCAAGAGTAGGACTGCCCCGCCCCCACCCTGGCACCTGGCATCCTCATCACCAATAGCAGGAGTGAACAAGGGGCCCTAGAGAGCTCCACCCTCCCACAACCTCGTTACCCCTCTGTCTTGAGGCTGTCATCGGCTCTCATTTTGCCGTTTATCCCAGTATCTGGCTATGTCACCCTAAGACGCTCAGAAAACTCAGGTCATCCCCTGCTGCCCAGACTCTACATCCTTAAGGCACCCACCCTACACCCAACACTCACAACACATTACACTTCTTCCGGGTTTTATTTTTGTTTTTTAAATTAAAACATTCTTTTTTTTTTTCTTTCAGCAGTTTTAGTTTTATAGAAAAATGTTTGGAAAATACAGAGAGTTCCCACATACCCCTTACCCCTCCTTTCCTAATTGCCTCTATTATTAACACTATTATTACTATTACTACTATTATATATTATTATTACTATCCACTATTTAAAGCTGTGCAACTTTGGGCAAGTTATTAACACTTTACCTTTCTGTGCCTCAGTTTCCTCATGGTAGATACTTTAGTATTTGCTGAAGGAATGGATGAAACAAAAATAAAACTAATCGAGAAAAGATGGTAAAGGAAGGGATAGGGAGAGATTTGTTAAAACATACAAAAT